TTCAGCTTGGCTGGCTGGGACCCACGGAGAGCTCCCTGGCTAAAGGTCTGCTTAGCTTCTTTGTCCTCCAGCCTCGGCCACACTGCTTTTCCATTTCCGTTCAGCAGACCAATTTTCAAGATGTTCACAGGCTCTGCCTCTGTGCTCTGGTCCCTTTTGTGTGAGTTCCACACTGACCTGAAGGGAGCCAGCCTCAGCGGAAGTGGCACAAAAACACAGGCAGGTGGGATCCACGGGCCTCCTCGCTGCTAGGATTTTCCCTGACATTTGCCCAAATGCCAAGCGCTCTTTCTGCTGAGTCTTCTCCCTCTTCCCATTTTCTTTTACTACCACGAGGGCATGTATTGTGTGCCTGGACCTGTGCAGCCATTGCCCACTTAAAAGGACTTAAATAATATCAGCCCAGGAATAAAAAACAAAAAAATAGCCTTTGTTTTCTGCCAACGTACCCCAAACACAAATCTCAGCGTTCGGAGAAGAGGGGATCTGGTGCATGGCTCCATTAACGGATGAACCCACTCTTGGAAATCCATTAACTCTTAGGAACTGGACATAACCTGGGGGCCACCCTGGGCGATTTGAGGACGACATAAAACTGTCCCTGTCAGAAAGTTCGCAGTCTGGGAAAGTGTTTTCCTCAATAAAATACAATTGATAGATATTTTACCTACATGTTCTTTAATACCGTGCTTTATAAAGCCATCAGCCAAACGGAATATAAACCTATGTGTATGCAACCCCAAAATTTCTCAGTAGGAAGCCCTTTCCAGAAGGTCATGCAAAATTAATAAGAAACTCCAAGCGTGGGGCCTGCAGTACTGTGAGTGTATTTAAAAGAGTTCAGTGTGCCCAGCTGCTGAAGAACAAGCAAATTGGGGGTGCCTTCCACCTGCGAAAACACCCTACGAAGAGAGGATATTAGCAGGTCCAAAAAGAATGCACAGATGTGTGCCCTGTAAATACAAGCAAATTGACCAAAAAAAAAGAAAAGAAAAAAAAACAGGTTTTCTTTTCATCTGGATCACACTGCTCTACTAAACCTCTAACAAAATCAGCTGTGAGTCATTTATTCAAGTTTTCTTTCTGAAAAAAAAAGAGTAATACATCTTGTATTCTTTCATCCTCAGAACTCAAAGGAGAAAAACAGTGAGATTTTCTAATCCCTTGGCATGAGTTAACAAATTGCAGGATGGGGAAATAAATATCATGGCACCCTGTTAAGATCGCCAGTCCTGCAAACGCATTTTCATGCTTAATTTCTGCCTCGTTCCTGCTAGGAAAGGCCAGACTTGGAATCCTAGGTGCACTCAGCATCCGTCCAGGTGGAACTGCCCCGCCCAGAGCAGCATCTATCTCTGTCTGCTTCAGCAGAACCAACTGGGTCTTCCTGGCTCTTTCCCTACATGAGGTTAAACTCGCAAAGGAAACTGAGTTGTCGCTGGCCTTTCTCTTGCTGGGCCTCTGGGGCCAGGTGCAAAATTCACACATGATGCAGCTGCCTTCACAGCTGCGCTTCACAACAGGTCTAAAGCACATAGCGCCGAGCAATCCACATCACCTGCCAGCGCAGGGTCTGCTTCACCAGGGCATCAGAAGACTTCCCACAAGACTGCAGTCCTGATTCTCGGGGCTGCCTCACACCGGGTCACCTAACAGCTGACCTGACCATGAGCACCCTAAAAGAGGGCTGCGTGTGAGCTTTTCCCACTGGCTACTTTTGACCAAAAAAAAATTTTTCCCTATGCTTCCCGTGTCCCTTCCCCCAGGTTTAAGTGTGAGTCGAGCACCTCCCTGCAGACCCCGGCCACTCTGCTTTCTTCTGTTTTCATGTGGATGACAGAGGCTTCAGTTTGGGAGCTCAGACAAACATGTCTCGTGTCTCTGAGGTTTTGCCCTGGTGCCATCCGTGGCATTCAAACCGCGCCTTCAGGAGGCTTCGTCCTTGGTGTGGCCGAAGTCTAGACAGAAAAGGTTCTCTGCCCGGCCCTGAGCAGCGCCATCCTAGCCAAGCCAAAGCGAGCAGAGGGCCCACCACAGGGCACCTCGGGCTTGGAGGCGGCTGCCCTCAGAGGGCTCTGGAGTTCCATTAGGAGCCTCCGCGCTCTCAGTCTTACACAACAGGGAGCCTCTCCCAGCCCTTCTCAAACAGGGTGGCTGGTACGTCACGCCTCCGATCCCCTCTCCAGATGTGTCTTCCAGCGTTCAAATCCTGCTGCTGGCCCTCATAAGTGAGTTAATTCTTTCAAAAAGCAACTTGAAACAGACACTTAAATGAGAACCTGGCACTGTTCGTCATTGTTCCTGGGACTTTTTTTAAGGTGGCCAAGAACAAAAGGAGTCTTTTCTTTTTCCCACGTGTGCAGGGCCCACTCGGCAGAGAGGAGCGTGCGTTCCGAAAACCGGGCTTTGGCGGTGAGCACTTCTGATCCGGCTAATCGACTTAAGCTGGCACTTTGATCCCTGCTAAATTATCTCCCAGCTCATCTCCTGATTGCTGCAGGCATATCTGACACACTTTAATACCAGGATGTAAATCAGACGCCCCCACAAACCACCTCCGCTCTCTCACACCGCCCTCAATTTGGATTTTATTTCCTTGCTCCACTTGAGCTGTTCTTTTCAGTCACGTGTCAGTCACCCCCAAAAATGCTGCTCCCGGGGATGAACTCAACACTGTGTCATAAAGTTGCGCTGTTTAGAGCCAGCTCCAGCTCCCCGTACTGTTCCCCTTTTCCCCGCAGGTCGGAAGACCCCGAAGCGCAGGGCCACACGCAGGGAGCCCCTGGTCCTCGGATTCCCCCTGCCCAGCTGGTCCTGCGCTGGCTCCAGGGACAGCTTGTGAGCTTGGGGCTCTGCAGGGGCCACTAAGCTCAGAGGCCCAAGGCAGCAATTCTTAAAACTCAGTAAGTCCTGGGCTTGGACCAAAGCCACCGCTGTGGCCCCCTCGGGTAGCCAGTCCCACAGCAAGTAAGTGCTCCTCTGAAGTCCATTCCTGCATGAGAGTTCTTAGAACCAGACGCCACATTTAATTCATCCACCAGAGGAGAGCTTTGGGAGGGGGACCCAGGGCCCTATCCAGCAAGGAGCTTCTGTTCCACTTTATTAAACGTTTTAAGTAGATTTAAGCTTCAGGGAAAGGACGAACCCCTGCTCCTCAAGATCCCATGCCCAGGAGCCTGGAGCCCAGCCAGGAGCGGGGATCAGAGGCTGCGGCGCGGGGCCAGGGACCGAGTGGGGCGGGGGTTGGGGGCAAGGGCTTTCATCCACACTGCGGTTCGAAGTCTGACGCTCTGTGCGGTCATGAAGGTTGGGGACACACTCAGCAGAAATGCAGCAGGAGCCCCCCTTACGGAGCCGGCTCTTCCCTGGAGCCCCACCCAGCCAGTGCTCCTTGCGAGCCCAGCACCGAGGAACCCTCCAGGGAACCACAGTGCACTGCAGCCTCAGCAGGAGGTGGCCACTGAGCCCAGCCCCGAGGAGGGGCCCCGACCCGTGCTGCTGTCCAGACCCTTCTCTGCAGGAACTTTCAAGGGGTCTGTAAAGGAAAACCACCGCCCGGCCTTCTCTTCTCTGGGAGAAACGTGAGCTGAAATCTCCCTGCAGTCCAGCAGACAACCCACCCCTCCCCCAGTGCACAGGGAACAGAGGTCTCAACCTCCCCCCTCCCGTTGTCCTTGCCTAGTTCAGGGACCTTTCCTGACCTCCTTTCCGGACCCGCCCCTTCCCGCTGGCCCCTCCCTGCCCTCAGTGGTTTGAGAATCCCACAGGCCTTTTGCACAGATGCATGCACCTGGTCGGGACCCAACATTGCAGCCAAGTCCTGGATCTGCCGCTCACTGGCAGATGACCTTGAGCCAGTGAGTTCAGCGCTGCATGCCTCAGTCTCTGCATCTGTCCATTGGGACGACAATGGCCTCCACTGCACACAGTGGCCGGGAGCTTGCAGCAGGGGACACATGTGGGAGCACTTGGCACCCTGCTCAGGAGGCAAATGATGGCTGTTTGGCTGCTATTGTTGCTACGCTGCTGGGGTTGGGGTTGCCGGGAGACCTCTCCTCTCCCACCCACGTCCGCCCCCCCCCCCGGCTCCTGCCTCCGTCTCCAGCCTCGTTCCCAAATTTGATAGTGCTTTTCCTTTCTGCCTGCCACGTCTAAATCAAAAGTCACTCATCAGAGAGGCAGAAGCAGTGAGAAGGCATTTTATTTCTGAAGTTGTTAATTTTACCCTAGACTCCCAAAAAAAGACCACCCATCTGTCAAACAAATAAAAAAGAAAAAAAAGACAAAGACGCTAAAAGAGCTTTAAAAGTAATTATTTAAGTGCCGGCCAAGAGGAAATAGAAATGGACTTGGCTCCACTCTGTAGCTGAATGAGGATGATACCGTGCAGCCCCAGCTCCGCTGCGCGGGAGAGGAAGGGGCGACGGCGGCATTTGCAACACCCAGGAGCCGCCAGTTTTGTCCTGCCAAACCCTGTCCTGCGCTCACACGTCTGGGAAAGCCAGTCTCCATCTGCAGTTAGCTGCTCTCCCACCAAGGCCCCCTCTGTCTCAGAGATGCAGATCCGCCCCGGGATTTCTCCTGGTCGGTCCGGGCTGTGCCCTCCTCAGGATGCCAGCCCAGTGCGGAGCTCCTCAGCTCCCCCACCCTGAGGCTGGGCTTCCCCGGGTGCCCATGGAAACTCCGAGGAAGCGCACGGCTTCTCCAGGGATGGAACAACCTGCTTCTCTGTCGAGGTCTAAACCCAGAGCACTTTACAAAGCCGCAATTAAATCGGATGCCAACAATGAACCCAGCTCTCTTTCTAAGGCTAATTTTAAAAAGTTGAAACTTACCCAGTTCCTGCAAAGCCCTTCCAACCCAGCTACCCGGAGCACCCGTGCCCAGGCAAATCATTACAAGACGGACGACTTTCCTGCCCCTTGAGCCCGGCTCCCCGAGAAGGGTGGGCTGACACCCAGCACCCTGCTCAGCGCCTCCCTGCAGCCCAGGCCGCTCACCTCGCTCATGTTGGCTTCAGCTCCACAGCGCGTCCCGCCGCTCAGCACAGAGAGCACCGCTCAGGGTCCTGCTCCGCTGCCGTCCTGGCTTTTCTCTTAAAAAGAGCTGCCCGGTGGCATCATGCCTCTCGCCAGCCAATCAGAGGCCTTCACCTGTCTGCAAGATGCAGGCATCCGAGAGCACCTGGAGCCCCCTAGCGGAGAGGAGCGGCGTGGCAGGTCCCTGCCCCTGGTCCAGCTGGGAGACGCAGGTGGCGCAGGAGACAGCAAGGGAGAGAGACGGGTGCGGCGGACCGACTGCTCTCCTGGTCTGCTGGGGGCTCCCTGCGGCGCACGGAGGAGCGCTGCCGGCTTTCACATGCTGGCTTTGTGGCCCGCCGCTTTGCTGAACTTGCTCATTGGCCTCTAAGAGTCTCAGGGTGGAACTTGGGGGTCTTGGAGGTACAGATCCTGTCATCCGCAAGCCAGGGCAGTTTCCTCCTCCTCTCCCGTTGGTATCCCTTTTATTTCTTTCTCTTGTGGGATTGCTCTGGCTAAGGCTCTGGATCCTGTATTTGCAGGAAAATAGATGGGCCATGAGATCATCCCGCTAGGTGCGATCAATCAGACTTATAAAGGGCGAAGTAAGGGGAGACAGAAGGGGAGGGGAGGTAGATTTTAGGAGACAGAGGGGCTCCGAGGGAGGGGGAGAGGGACTGAGGTACTGAGGATGCCGTGTGTGTGTGTGTGTGTGTGTGTGTGTGTGTGTGTGTGTGTGGACTGGCTCCCCAACCAAGGTGATGATTATGTACCACAAACATACACTAATTAAAGGTCATTTTAATTTAATTTAAAAAGCTAAGAAAGTGACACAAAGATGGCCACGGCGGTTGCTTGTTGATCTGCCTGCAGGGCCGGGGGCACATGGAGACTGCATTCAATCGTTAGTGGGAAGGAAGAATTCTCACGCCCCGGCCCAGCCTCCACCCTTCCCCCGCTCTCCTGGGGCCGCGTTTCCACCCCTTCACACACTCACCCCGCCGCTCCAGCTGCCTCCTGCAGCAGCTCTGGGGTCCTTTTCTAAGAGGCTTCAGGACAGGTGATCAAAAATTCAGTGACCGCTGCTGGCGGGCTGGTGACACCTTACTGCATTCTTATTCCCCTCAGTCGCCAGGCCTGGCACCGAGCAACTTGCGGCTCCTCCCCAAAATCAAGATGACCATGACAGGGGCACATTTTTAATCTGCTCAGGACATCAGGGCAGCCAGGACACACAGCTAAAGACCCTCAGGAAAGAGGACTCCAGAGCTGCTGCAGGACGTGGCCGGGACGATGGGATCAATGTGTTTGAAGTGAGAGAGAAAAATTTTTAGGGCAACTGATGGCAATGTGTCTTATACTGTGATACATTTTTTAAAAATTTCAACATTTGATTATGTTGGTATTATATATATATATATATATACACACACACACGCAGATATATATATACAGTAAATGTGAGTGATATATTCGCGTGTTCTGACCACACAAATCCTTTGCAGACTGATGAGGGCAGCACACTCCCTATCCTCTCCCCTTCTTCCCCAGTTCCCTCCTGCGAAGGCCGAGGCAGCATGCCCGAGGGTCCACAGGTGGCCAGAAGTGGGAGAGCAGGAAGAGGGGGCCTAGGCGAAGACAGAGAACCGCAGTATTCTCCGCAAAGTCCAGCCGTCTACAGGAAGGGCTCACACGTGCAGAAACCCGCAAGTGCTTAGGAGCAAGGCCGCCCGACCAGGGGAAGACTGTCTGAGCCCCGGCAGCAGGGCTCACAGAGGCCCCTGCGTGGCTTTGCCAGCCGGGCTCCCTCCGTGGGGACAAGCAGAGCGGACACAAAGAGCCATTCTCCCCTGCTAACCTGATGCTGCAGACCTCACAGGTATGGGCTGGGGCTCCTAGGGGACTTCTAAGAGGAGCCGCAGGGAGATGCCAGGCAGAGCTGAGGCCTCACCGGGCAGAGGGCACCACGAGGGCTGGGCACGCAGGTTGAGAAAGGCTCAGAGAGACATGTGTGGTGTCCTGGGCTGAATGTTCCCAGTCCCCAAATCCATACGCTGAACTCCTGATCCCCGGGACCGAGAACTTGATTGTGTTTGTAGAAAGGGTCTTCACACAGGTGACCATGTCACAGGAGGTCACGGCTTTGTCCCCATCCAAAGCCCCCGGTGTCATAAGAAGAGGCAACCAGGACAGTCGCAGAGGGAGGGCCACAGGGGACACAGGACGACAACACCATCTGCGAGGTGTTGGGAGGAGGCCTCGGGAACCCTGCCCCAGAGCCCTGGCTGCCCTGGGCAAGGACCGGGTCTGTGGTTGGAGCCTGGGCTGTGGCCCCTTTTGGGACACCACTAGTGAACTCACACTGACGGTGAGCCCCGAGGAGACCTTCTGGGCAAGGCAGAAGCCCGAGGAAGGGCTGGAGTCACTGTCAGCCAGGTAGGGTCACCGCCTGCCACTCAGCTGGCAGCCCGCAGCTTGCCTCCCGGGGGAGTCAGACAGCGGCCTCGGCTGGCAAGGAGCGTGGCACCACGCCCGGCCTCAGAGGCAAAGCAGACCTCATGTGTGGCTGCCAGGGCAGAGTCACACTGCTGGGGAGGGCAGCTCGAGGGCTCCCGAGATCCACGTGTTCGCCCCGCATGCTCCCACGTGTGCCACGCCCACACCCGCACCACACACCTCCGCCACCGCAGCACAGGGGCCCCAGGGCCCAGACCCAGGATCACAAGGACGGCCTGGGCCTCAGCTCAGGACCCAGGGACAAGGACAGTGACAATAACAGCCTTCCTGGGGCTGTGCAGTGAGGGCCGCTGCGTGAGGCAATATGGGACACACACACTATCACACACTCAACAGACTGCATACAAAATACACACACACACCTGCACACCTGCACACACCCATACAACACATACCATACACTCACAACACACACAAGCACCACACCCACCACACACATACACAACACACACCATACACTCATAACCCACACAAACACCACACCCACCATACACATACACAACACACACCACTCACTCCATAGATACACACACCATACACTCACAACTCACACAACAAACACCACACCCACCACACACATACACAACACAAACCACTCACTCCATAGATACACACACCATACACTCACAACCCACACAACACATACCATACTCAGCAACACCTCACAAACACCATATACATATACAGTACACAGCACACACACACCAAACACCACACCCATCACAAATCATACACACACCACATACCTCATACTGACATACCGCACAAACATGACACACATACACAACACAAACCACACACACTACACTCTCACAACTCACACATTAAACACCACACCCAACACACATCACACAAACACCACACACACACACCTCACACACACACACTAAACACCATACCCACCCACCACATACCACACACATCCTACACCATACACACCATACATGCACCACACAGACCACATGCGCACACACACACACACTCCATGGCTTCTGAACTTTGCAGGCTTGCTCTCCCCCTGCTCTGCCCACTCCCCTTCTCTCTCTAGGGTACACTGAGCTATTGCCTCCCTACACACCATGATCCCCCATCCGTGGAGGTGGAGTCCCAGGACCCCCATGGGTACCAGAATCTGCAGACACACAAATCCCTCGTGGAAATGCACCAAAGCTCCCCTCACTAAATCACGCTGAGATGCCCTGTAACACCCGCTGCAGCCAACCCTGTGTGAACGGTGTCTGCTGTACCGCTGGGGAATAAGGATAAGAAAAAGTGTGCACGTCCCACACAGACAGAGTTATTTCCAGGAGCTTTTAACCCATGGCTGGCTGAATCTGGACAGGGAAGGGTGGCCGTGTGTGTTCCCAGTGCAGTCGGCACCACCACGCCCAGCGCGTGACTTCCTTCCAGTTATCTACCCGCTGCCTCACGAACACGGAGTCGGGAAGCAGCGCTAGAGCCTGAGTCCCTGACGCAGGGCGTGTCCCGTGCGTGACCCAGGGGAAGGTGCTCCCTAGCTCAGTGTCTGTTCTCCTCCACAGGGAATACAGGACCTTAAAGCCCTGCACCTGCCAACCTAAGCAAAAACACACACACTTGGTGTGTCGAGCTGGAAAACAAGTGTTGAAGGAACTTCTGGAGGACTAGACTACAGCCTCCCATGTTAGGCCTTAGGGAGTGCCTCCCACATGCTGAATTAAAATATAGACTTTTGGTTCCATGATTTATGAAAAATTTACAAGAATGGTGTGATCCAAAAATATGGCAAATGTTTAAGTTTTGTGTGTGTGTGTGTGTGTGTGTGTGTGTGTGTGTTTTTGGGAGGTGGGTGAGTTTTCCAGTACCAGGAACCAAACTCAGGGCCTTACACTTGCCAGGCAGGCACTGTGCCGCTGAGCTAAAGCCCCAACCCCCTAGTGTTTAAAATTTTAAGCATTTAGTTCAGTAGAAGACACATTGTTAATCCCCCTCAAAACACTCTCCTTCAGTTTGAACACACTGCTCCCACCATCCTTGCCACTTCTGCAGCAGCTCTGGAGTCCTCTTTCCTGAGTGTCTTTAGCTGAGCTATCCTAGCTTCCCCAGTGACCTGAGTCCATTCAGAACATTTCCCTCTCGTGGTCATTTTGACTTTGGGGAAGAGCTGGAAGCCACACAGAGCCAGAGCCAGTGACTTTCCGTTGGATGGAGCCCAGCAGCAGCACTCACGTGGTTTTCATCACACCCTGTGTAGACACTCAGGAAAGGCCACTCCAGAGCTGCGGCAGAAAGTGGCCAGAATACTGGGGTGAGTATAGGCAAAGAGACGGGCAGGATTTTGAGAGGGATTCTGGACAGTGTGTCTTTTACTATAAAAGTTTTTTAATTTAAATATTTTTTCATTTGATTTGTCGGTCCCTGGGTGCACGTGCACAATGAGGACACATTATTCTCGTCTCCTGGAGGCACAGTCCTGCCTGAAGGCCTGGGCCGGGCCGAGCGGCCCTTGGGAAGATCTGCAGTTACGCCATGTGCTGATGACCTAGGTCTTCCCATCACGAGACTTTTCTATCTAATGCAACGTTTGTATATCATCTGAGGCCTACAGGGCGCTTTGGAAAGAGCTCGTCTCCTGCTTCATTTTCCCTCCCCCGTTGCTTCGTGTCTTCCTGCTCTGTGACCCCTGACTTCCTCCATGTGAGCAAATGTGTGGCGTCCTCTTTACCCCTGCACAGGAAGCCATCAGCCTGGCAGAGCACGCAGTGTCCTCCCAGGAGGGAGACCCACAGCCTGGCCTCGAGGCCCCCCTCCTGCCGACCTTCTCTGCTCCCAGCTGGCTGCCAGGGTAGCCTGCAGCACCTTTCAACACCCGAGAACTGTCATGGTTGTCTGTGTTCAGAGAGCCACCACACACTGGGTATGTGCAGGGTCTTTCCCACTACAGCGGTCCTGGCAGCTTGCAGAACGGGGCTTTGTAGAGTCCTTAACTATCTCCCCATCCCCCTTTCCAACAGATGGGCTCCTCCCGCTCCCTTCCTTCAGTGGGTCCCAGAGCGGCAGGCCTGACTCATGCTGGGAACGAAACTGTGTTCCCCCAAATTTCACATTTCAACCTCTAGCTCCCAACCTGACTATTTAAAGTGACAGGGCCCTTCACGAGGGAATCAAGGTTAAATGGGGCCACAGGGCTTGTCCAAACCAGTGTAGGTGGGGTCCTTATAAAGAGATACATCAGGACACACACAGAGGGGACCACTTGAGAGCACAGGGAGCAGACGCCACCCTCGAGCTGAGGAGAGGGATCTGGGAAGATCCAGCCCTGCCCAGAATGGCATCGTGGACTTTCAGCCCCCGTGATTTTAAGGCAATAGGACCCTGCTTATTAACCACACAGGGGTTCTGTCTCCACAATCAAGCTGACGAAGACATCTGGCCATAGCCAGGGTCAGCTTCTGCATGGGACACTGTCGTGGACAACCCAACCCAGCTCTGAGGACCAGAGTGCACATTCTGTCCACCACCAAGGGTGGATCAGGAATCCAAGATTAAGAACGAGTGTCTCCAGAGCAGCGCATAAAAAAGACGCGACCATCAGAAGCGGCAGTCAGGATGGGGAGAAAGGCCCCCAGGACACCCAGCAGGCTTGGCTTGCACAGTGTTGTGTAAACAGATGTTAATGAAACACAGCTGAGCCAGGAGCAGAGGATGCAGGAGAGCAAACCACTGCGTCTCTATCAGTGGTTCTCAAAGAGGAGCAGGGCGGGGCCGGGGATACAGCTCAGCGGCACAGCGCCCGCCTGGCCAGCATGAGGTTGTGAGTTCGATTCCAGGTACCAAAAAAAGAGCAGCGTGATTCTGCGTCCCTGCCCCAGGGGACACTGACAAAGTCCAGAGGCATTTCACTCTCATGAGAGGGAGATATTTTAGCTGTCACAACCTCGGTGGATCAGGGGTCTCACAGAGATCCAGTACCGACAGAACAAGCATGCTGCTAAGTAGGCTACAATGTTCAAGAATGTCCTTCATGATAAGGAATGGTCCGGCTCCAAATGTTAATCACACAAAAGTTGGGAAATCTCAACCCATGCAAACACATCTATGCAAGCATCCATATAAATCTATACAAGAAGCCAAAGATGGACAGTCAAGAGACCCGGTGCAGCATTATCAATGACACTCAAGGGTCCTTCCCCAGTTTTCAACAGGAATCAGCTTCCAGACCCAGAAGTGGTTCCCCAAAAGGGAAGCTGGGTCCCCAGCAGGAAGGACCGCCCAGCATCAAGCCTACTCGTGCAGGTCGGTTTCTCCAGCCGTTCCTCAAAGGCACCCAGAGCTGTTTTGTGGACTAACAGGCAACCAGGAAGGGGGAGCACCCACATGTTTTGAAGACTGTTGACTGCAGGGTCCAAGTACAAACTGGGGACCCACAGCACCAGCTCCTGTTCGGGTGAGGGTGTGCAGGCCAGGTAAAACAGGGTCCTGGCCCAGGCGTGGCTCACAGGGGTCCCCTGGAAATAGACGCATGGGCCCAGCGGCCCACCCTGGCCAGAGCCACCGTAGAAGGGAAGTTCGAACAGACCACGAAATAATAAATAAAATAACATCACATTCCAGTAGACTGACAGAGATGAGCACCGCCCTCAAAGACCCAAAGGAGACCAGCGTGGTGACGGCCAGCTCGCCTTTATTTCACAATCTGATCTGCGCTGAAATCCAGCCGACCCTCGAAGACCGCAATAGAGCACTTGGAACTCAACCAAATAGCAGCCCAATCGCATCTGCTGTGCCAGACGCAGTCTCTGCTGCAGAACTTCTGCTACACAGCCTTGGGGACACAGTGCTCTGGTCACTGCTCTGACAAACGTCCCCTCTCCATCCTCAAAGTGGAGGCTGAGGAAGCGTGAGCCCCTAACATGACACCGCAAGAAGACCAGACAAATATCTGGTTGGAAACAGATCAAGAACCCTTCAAGCTTGAAGGACAATCAGTCATCTCAGCTGGAACTGACACATAATGCGGGGTGAGGAACCTCTGGTGCCTCCAAGCCTCTATCTGCCTGAGTCCTGAGGGCCTAAGGGGCACTTGGCCCACTGACACAGACATAGCACCATCTCCCCTCAGGCCCCACTTTATGTCAACCGAGGCATGACAGAACACACACTCTAGCATGGACAGCCGTGTAAGTCTGGGGAAGACAAGGACACCATCGCCTTTGGAGCACAATAATTCATCCTAGCTGGCACCAGAGGGGCGAGGATAGGCAGAGAGGAAGGAGCTAGAGAGAGAGATGCAGAGACCTGGAGAGAATTTCCTGGAGTCCTTGAGTGAATCCTGATCTGTGCAAAGAAACTCCCTGAAGCTGAAACAGAGGAAACTTCCCAAAGCTAGGGGAAAGGCCACTGAACAATTCCCAGAGCTCCCACAGAAGTAGGAATCATTCTTCACATGGCAACCTCCTGAGAGGCACTGGGCAAAGGCCTCCCCTGCCTTGGTAGTAGGATTGAACTGGTCCAGATAAAGGCTGCTCTCGACTCACCACGGCAGAGTGTGGGAGGAAACCCCAAGAGAACTCCCCCGGCTCACATGCCATTGACTGCATGCCAGAAAAATGATTCAGCGATCTTTAAAGGAATACAATTAAATCCAGGACCAAAAGTGTGAAATTCACACTGTGTGGTATCCCAAAATTATTAGGCATGCAGAAAAAATAGGATCGATTCTTTCACAGAAACTGACGGCAGAAACGTTGGAGCTAGCAGACGCTTGCTCCTACACCTCTGCTCGCTGACCCTGCTCTGGGACACTGCAGCGAGGTCTCTGCTGGCAGCCACTCTCAGACTCTGCTAAGGGGACTGGGCAGAGACTCTGTAATGCCGGCGGAGGAAGGACAGGAGCAGTCCTGCCCTCTTTTTGCCCCTTCCTGCCTTCTTTTTGCCCCTTCCTGCCTCTTCTTGCCCCTGTGCATTCCTTGTCCCGTCCTGTTTACTTCGTGTCCTGTCCTGTTTGATTCCTCTTCCTTCTGGAGGCAGCTATTCCTCAGTCTGGCAAAGAAAACCCCTCCCCATCAAAACCAGCTCTTGGTTTTTCCAGCATTGGCAGAACCAGCCTCACCATGTCCCCCTGACAACACCAGCACCAGCCCAGGTAGATGCCCATCTCAGAAGTCTCTTTCAGCCCCAACTGGTCCTTTCTGTGAGATTCTAAACTGTAACAACCTCAGTTCTTTGCTTGGATCAGCTGGTAGCAGCTTCCTACAGTCACTGCCTGGGTTAGTCCATGTTCTGTTACTGAATAAACAATTTACAGAGAGAGGTTCGCTTGGCTCACGGTTTGGGGGCTTTCAGTCAACGGTCAGGTGGCCCCAGTGCTCTGGGCTGTGACGGCGCAGGACATCATGGCTGGAGCAAGAAGCAGAGCACACCGGTTTGCCTCTTGGTCAGGAAAAAAACTAAAGACGGAGGAACGGGCTGGGTCCTCATCCCCGTCAGGGGCCTGCACACTTTCCATGCGCCCTGCCTTTTACAGCTCCCACCTGTCCCAGTGATGCCGGCTGGAAACCTCGCATTTGACACATGGGCTTTGGGGGACCCCCAGATTCAAGCTATATCCCTGCAGCTGTGCCACTAGAAGCCACTCTCCTCCTTTTGGTCAGTGAGTCACCAACTGTATACTTCAGCCTTGGTTCATATTAAATTAGGTCTGGGAGGAGGGGGGTGTGGCTTCTGCCTCTTGCTGAGCCTGCCTGTAAAACCCCTTATAGGCATTACCGTGTTGAGTGCTTACAAAACCTAGTAAGATCTGTCCTTTTATTGATCTCATTTTTTACAGATTAAAAAGCGTAAGGCAGAGTGGCACATGCCTTCAGTTCCAACACTGTGGGAGGCTGAGGCAAATTCAGCTCGAGCAATTTAGCAACTTAGCAAGACCCTCTCAAAACTTAAAAAAAAAAAAAGGCTAGGAGATGTAGGTCAGTATGAAGGCCCTGGATTTAATCTCCCACACTGTACAAAATAAAAACAGAGACAACAAACATGTGGCTCAAAGACATTAGTAATTTGCTCAAATTCCCCATTCATCACTGTGCAGACCTGTCTCTGGAGACATGAGGACCCCGAAGTGTGTGAGATTCCTGCAGAGAAGTACATGTAACAGCATGCCGGAGCTCACTGTCACGGAGGGAGACGTCCCTTCTGGGGCTACAGGGGTAAGAACAGGGTCAGCCCCCGGTCACAGGAGGTTCCAGGAGGAAGGAACGAGCGTCACGAGGGAAGACATGAGCCATGCACCTCAACGACAACTACGTGAAAACCTCAAGCTGAGACTAAAAATACCAGCGGAACAGGCAGCTTCACTGTGGATACGCACAATAGTAACGAGCATTGCTTAGACTCAAATCATCCAACTCTTCCCCCTTCAGTAGTTTACATGGGGCCAGGGATACGGTTCAGTGGCACAAGTGCCTGCGTGGCAAGTGCAAGGTCCTGAGTTCGATTCCCGGTACCGAAAAAAAAAATTATGTGGATACACAGTTTCAAAATTGCATCACACCTTTATTCTTTTCTTGGATATGTTCTCTCCTGTTCTTTTTCATTCCATGACAGTCAGTGCCCTCTGCTGGGAGTGGTGCCAGGCAAGTAAACAAGCAAAGGTTTGGGGAGGTTTGGGGAGAGAGAGAGAGACAGACAGACAGACAGACAGAGAGACAGAGACAGAAAGAGAGAGAGAGAGTGTGTGTGTGTGTGTGTGTGCATGTGTCTCAGAAGCGGACTCTAGAGAAACAGGTAGGAGCTACACAGCCCCAGTGTATCCCCAGTGACCCCTCTGACTCTACAAAGTCACACAGCACTTAGATGAATCACAAAAGCAGAACTATAGATAGTTACCACTACCTGATCCTGTTGCACACATCAATAAAATGCTGAGAAACCACCCTATCACCTTCAGAATAACAGCAAACGTGTCTAAAACTATTGTCCTATGAAACGTTCATATCATAGTGACTTCCAGGCTGCAAAACATTAGCATAAAAAGTAAGGAATTGATTCCATTTAATACTAATGCCTGTTTTAAACAATTCCAAATATTAATTCATCCTCAAGAACCTACCACCAGTATAGTAAAGTCAGAGACGCTTTCAGCCAATTACACTCAGTGAACTGGCATCTGTGGAGCTGAATTCCCTAAGGAGGCACTGAGAGGTGGGTGCAAGCTTACATCAGTGTCCTCACCCCGGAGCAGCAGCAGAGCTCTGAGTCCTCGGGGGAACTGTTAGGGAAGGAAGCTTACAAATGCACAAACGCCCTGATGTATTTGGACCCGAAGGGCAAGGCCCCTTCCCTCATGGGGAGCAATTAACCCGGAAAAGCCATCCCGCCTTTTGATGAGCGCGTTTGAGAAACAGCTCTTGCAACGCGGCACCTGCAGATACGGGCTGCTGACGTTCGGGGCAATGGAGTTCATGCCGCCCAGGGACCTGGCCTGGCCCAGTCCCTCCAAGAGTCAGCCCCAGCCCCACCCGACACTGGAGTATGGACCAGCTGGCCGACCTGAGCAGAACGCGGGGGCGTGGACTTAGTCAGGGTCCTGTGGGCGCCTTGACCTCTACCCAAGAGTTCACAGGCACTAGAAGGGCCAGGGCGTAAGAAAGAATATCGGGGACGGATGGATGGCACGGGAAGGAGCCCTGCCCTTGAGAGACAAGTGCGGGAGGAGCGAGAGGCAGGCTCGGAGGGCGGCGAGGCGAGCTTTCCACTCGTGGAATCTGCCCTGCGAGGACCGAGGACAGGAGGACGCTGGCGGGGGACTCGGGACAGGAGGGCCGACAGCCCCTCGGGAAGAGCTTTGTTAGACCTCCACTGCGGCCTCGGGCTGACCAAGGAGGGTCCGGGGCCGTTGACTACCAGGGAAACGAGCAGGTGTCCTGCTGCAAACGCGGGGTTTTCTCGGTTATGGTCGCGGGGGCCTTCTCATCGACTGGACTGAAGACTCATCCCAGCGGCCGCGGCTGGGGTCTTCAGGGACGGCCTGGGACCCACGCTTGCTGCAGCAGAGCAGCCGGGGACATGCGCTGTGCCAGGGCCGGCCATGAGGCACTTGGTGGAGCTGCAGAGAAAGAATGAAAATCCAAAGCGCCTCCTGGGAGCGTCGGGCTTCGGGCCTCTTCCCTCCTCGGAACCACATGCGAGGCCGCAGCGATCAGGCAGGACTGTGTGGGGAAGCCGCTCCTCCGCCACCCACACTCCCGAGTCCATCGCTCCCAAGCAAAGCGGGGGAGGCGACTGCGACAGCGGCCACGGCTCTGCATACACGTGGGCAGCGCAGCGCACCTGGGGGACAGGGCTGCCCTGGCTGCTCCCCACTCACACCCTTTCCCCATGACACTTGGCACCTCAGGGACCTTCCCTGGCCCCCAGAAATATAAGGAAAAGTACCCAAATGAAGCGGATTCAGACTTGAATAATTCAGTCCTCAGCCGGGGTGAGGCTGGACGCTGCGGGTGGGGCTAGCGTTCCACAGCACCGGGAGTTACCTAGAACATTAACAATTCACCTTCAAAGTCAACTCTGGCGAGAAAGCTTCAGGAAATTCTCTTCATTTCCAAGAATTTCCCTAAGTGTCTGATGAGTTGAGACTGTGACTCTCATCGTGTGACAGACAAAATCCTTTTATTCTGATAAATTCAGTGTATTAGTTTTTAATAATAATGGGATCTAACACTTATAATTATAAAAATAAAAGAAGAGTTCCATAGATGTCTAAGCTGTCATGATTCCTTCCAGCTTTGGAGGCTGGGACTTTTTTCACATCTAATTCTATCAGTTGATGATGATGAAATTATTATTTCCAAGTAGTGTTCAGTGACTTCTTTGAAGATAAAACCTTGAACATAATTAAGCTAGAACAGTTAAGCGGTGACAGTTCTAACACAAGGAAAGTAGCTGCTCCTATCACCCACAAAAATATACAGCACAAGAGGCCTCCTGGTGTTAGTTATTTGACGGAGAAAGTACCCGTATTCTTCAAAATGCAGCTCAATTATAATGCATCTCCAGTTTTTTTAAATCAGCTGCACAACAAATAAAACATTGGTTAAGTTTCAAGACAAACGCCAAGACCAGTTTCAAAGTAGGAACTCAAGAAACAAATTTTAGAAGTTGGGAAACCAGGAAATTTCCTATCGAAATTGTTTCTAATTAATAGCGGCTGCCCGGTTCACAGGCAACTAAATCATAGACAGTTACCCCTGGACTATGAAAGCCGCACTGTTCTGCTCTAAAGCCATTAAGCGCCTATGGAGGCAAACTGAGCTACCATCCTAACCTTTGCACTGAGCCTAACCTTGGTTCCTAACGTTGGATCTGAAGCCTGGCTCGAGGTCCACAGCCCAGCAGGTAGGAGCAAGCGTGGGGTGTGTGGGTTCAGCAGGCTCAGATTTGGTTTCAAAACTGCAAACAGCCCCAGCTGGCTGGAGCCAGGAAGTGGCTACAAGCAGGCCAGCCTGCCGCATGGAAGCCACGGACAGGGAGACAAGTGGCCAAGGGGAAGGCAGGAGGCTGGTGACTGGTGTCCCCTTCAGTCTTTGCCAACTGGCAGCACAAGAGTCAGGTCACATGACAGGCGATGGGCACCCTCAGCCCCCGAGCTCAACCACAGTGCTTCCTGCGAGTACGTGAAGTGACTGAGAGATACAGTGGGTGTCAAAATTTTTAGAACGTTTATTACAGCAAGAGCCACGTTGCCATGAATCCCCTCAAGCTCCTCCCCCTCGCTTAGAACACACTCTTCCCACCCTCTGGCCACTTTCTGCAGCAGCTCTGGAGTCCTCCTTCCTGAGTGTCTTTATGAGGTGTGATCAAAAATGTAGTGACTGCTGCTGCCAACGCCATCCAACAGAAAGGCAGCTCGTGAAACATAACACTGTGTCGCCATCCACCTTGTTCACCGGATCTGGCACCGTGTAACTTCCGGCTCTCCCCCAAAGTCAAAATGACCATGACAGGGAAATGAAACGTTTTGAATCCAGTCAGGACACTGGGGCAGCCGCAGCTAAAGAGTCTCAGGAAGAGGACTCCAGAGCTGCTGCAGGAAGTGATAATGGGGCCAGGTGTAATCCTAGCACTTGTGAGGCTGAGGCAGGCTGATCACTATGAGTTCCAGGCCAGCCTGGGCTACATAGTGAGTTCAAGGCCAGCCTGAACTACATAGCAGGACTTTGTCTCAAAGAAAAAAAGAAAGAGAGAGAAAAGAAAAAAGGAAGAAATGAAAGAAAGGAAGGAAGGAGAGGGAAAGAAAGAAGAAACGAAGGAAGGAGGGAAGAAAGGAAGGAAGGAAGAAGGGAAGGAAGGAAGAAAGAAAGAGGGAAAGAAAGAAAGAAATGTTGAGATGAATGTGTTTGAACTGAGAGGGATTTGTGGCAATGTGTCTTTTACTGTAAATATGGTGCTTAAGTTTTAAAAAAAGATCATTACAGAGTTATCCATGTCCACCTGTGACTGGGTCACCCATACCTGAGGCATCAGGCACATGCAGAAACATGGCCCCAGCAGCCAGTCCTGAGGGGCAGCACATCCTCAAAGGGGGCTAAAGGACCACCAGCCAGGGATCCATGGAAATAACCTCCTGTATCTGCCAGGAGCTCAGTGCAGGCTCTGAGTGACTCACTGCTGTGGGCTGCTGGAACCTGGGGTACATGTGGGAACAAGTGATGGGCACTGGGGCTAGAGGATTACAGGGTCTCAGCACCTGTTCCTCACCCACCCCTGCCCAGGACTGGGACACACACAGCCCCACCTTCCTCCTTACAAGCTTCTGGGGCTCAGTGCCACGTCCTGGTGGCACCCACTGGGTTTTATGGCTGCCCTTGAAAGGCACAGGCAGGGGGCCTGAGGCCCAGCACCAGGTGCAAGCCACATGACACAGCTGCCTCTGCCAGCCTAGGAGCCACAGGACCTTGGCACACAGCCCCTCCTCCCTGGATCTCCACGGCCTCCACCACACAGACAGAGAGTAAAACATTTCATCCCCTGTTACCCGGGAACCGAACTCACGACCTTGCGCTTGCCAGGCAGGCGCTTTGCGAAAACTTTAATTACACACCTTCTGCGACGGCTCAAGGCAGCCCAGTGACACTAAGGGCCAAAGGCAGGTGCTCCGGGGGAAGCGGCAGAGGCTGGTGGCCACACTCCGCCCTGGGCAGCTGGGGCGATGCTGGAGGAAGCTGTCATGCGCTGCGACTCATCAGGAACTCAAGCTCCAGCAAGAGACAGCTGTGCAGACGGCAGACCGGGACACTAGTCTGGGTTAAGTGTTTCCTCCCCACCCTGGGTTTTGCAAAGAGAAATAACTTTCATTCCATTCCCTGAGGCCCCGCCCTGTCACTTGCACACACGCGTCACCCAACGGCCCCGTGGGGCCCAGGGTCCACACCCTGGAGGCCCAGAGAGTAGGAAAACTCTTTGCCGGCACTCTCCTCTGGCAGGGACCTTTTAATTAAAATGGAAAAAAAACCCACTGTAATACCAGTTAATGAGCCCCAATTTCTATGCAGACATAAGAATTAATGTGATTTTTAAAAGGCCTCAGTAATTATTGCCTGAAGTTTAGAAAGGGGTAAAGATAAACATGTGGCTCTTCCCTCCTGCTTCTCTGGTTCAGGGAGACTCGGGCGCAAGGACAGCCACACCCTACACCTGTGTCTGGGCACGGGATGAAGGTCGAGGTGCAAATAGCGCGGAGACGAAGGAGGGCGTTCTCCCCCAGTCCCTGCACAGACCCCTTCACTGTCTGCTCCTAGCTTGTCCCGCAGAGCTCCGCCTCCTAGCTGCAAGCGGCAGCTGCTCCAGCCGCTCAGCTCCAGGCCCAGGTGGGCTGCTCCACACTCAGAAAGTTGCTGCAAATTACAGTCCTGCAGGGAGCGGCGTGTGGCTCGGTGGTGGAAGGCTTGCCTGGCCCGAGCAAGGTGCTACAATGGCTCCCAGAAAAGAACAAGAGGGAGAGGGAGAGGGAGAGGGAGGGAGGGGAAGTGGGAGAGCAGGAAGGAAGGAGGGAAGGAAGGAGGGGAGCAGGAGGAAGGAAGGGGAAAGGAGAAAAGGGAAGGCGAGACGGGAGGGAGGGAATTATAAAATGCATTGTACATCTCAAAATAAGAAGAGAGGGTTCTGAGTGTGCTCGTTCTAGAGGACGACCACCACACTGACACCCGGAACGATCTCTCCCCAACAGACCCGCGATTCCGCGAGGGACTTCCAGTCTAATATCTATGTACAATCACTGCATGTCAATCGAAAACCAGGAAGTTTCTAGGGATCGAAGAGAAACGCTCCCAAGAAGGGGAGAATGGCGCTGTCTGCCGTGGTGACCTCAGGGTCTCCCCGGGCAGGGCTACGGGGGCCCCATGAATTGCTCCCACTCTCAGGGCTCTGGGGCGGCTTCTTCCCCAATCCTCCCCGGAGACCACCCTTTTTCCATGTCACCTTCTCTGCTCCAAAGGAAAGCTGACCTGCTGCCGTGCACGTGAATTATTCAGCCACTGCCTGGAAAGTGGAGCAGGGCCCTGTGCTCCTCAGCCCCGCAGCCAGGAGCTGCTACCAGCTCTGCAGCCCAGAAGGACGGAAACCGGGGCGACCCCAACAGGGTGGGAAACTCTGCCTTCATCTGAAAGACTCCAGAGCTAAGCTGCTCCCCCGCTCCTCCCCTGGCCACCAGCAGCACCTCTGGAGGTCACAGAACTGAGGGCCCCCAGGGCCGCACCTCTGTGCCAAGGGCAGAGGAGGCGCTGGGCAAAGCAGACAGCTAGGCCGCCCTTGGGGGCCAGAGATGCCGCCCCTGAAGGAGGGGACACTGCGCACAGACCCAACCCCGTGTGCAGGAGGACTTCCCGGGGGCCACTGCCTTTAAACCCCATGTGTGTCCCCCTCCTCCCAGCCCAGCACCACCGCCACATCCCGGGAGCAGCACCGCCAGAGTCAACAGCCCCGCGACACAGTGAACCCCAGGAGTGCCCTGTGTCCCTCTGCACGCGAGCACCACACAGCCGTGCCGTGGGAGCCCAGGGAGGACCGCAAGGGACGCCTGCGCACGGCTCCCCGCGGACCAAGAAATCCCCTGGGGGCCTCACGGGTCACTTTGCCTTCACCTTTGCCTGTCTGGGTTTCTGGGATCCCAGGGGTGAAAACGCGGTCTGTCGCCCCTGAACCGAGCGCAGGGAGAAGGCAGAAAAGGCCGTCAGCCTCTCCCTGTCCCTAACACGGCCCTTAGGAAACCCCGTCCGGCCTGGGACCCTCAGACGACACGGGGAGGGGCCGGCCAGTGTGACCCGCGGCCTCTCAGCCCTCGCGTCCCGTCCTGGACGCGGCCCTCCCCTTCGCCCCTCCCCGCCTCTCTCTCAGCCTCTCCTGTCTGCTGTCTCTGGATCCCTGCTAAGGGATGCGTGGGGAGCCCCGCACCCACCACACAGCCCCGCTCCAGCTGTGGGATCCCGCGGGCCCCACACACAGGGCTGGCCGGGCTGTGAGCAGGCCCGGGGCGGAGGGAGGAAGCTGCCCCCGCTTCCTCTGAGCCTTTGAGGCCCACCCTGACTTCCCCTCTGGACTCCGTCTCGGAATACTTGGATCCCGACGGCAGGAGCAGCGCCCGGAGTCCCCTGAGCACGAGGCCACCCCAGAGGACACAGCCTGGAGGAACGCAGTCCTGCCACCCCGTACAGGGCGGGGGTGCTGAAACATTCTGCCTGGGCGGGGCAGGTAGAAGAGGGTGGAGGGACCCTGAGGATCCGTGGTGGGAAATGTCTCCATGGACACCTTGGAACATATTCAATTATGAATCATGCAGATGCGTTTCCTGCTGAAAATATAAAGTAAAACTAAAATATTCGAGTAAGTCCGTCACCCAGACCCTGGTGGGGCCAGGATGAGAGAGACACAGTCCTGCCTTCCCGGAAGTCACCATCCGTTCCTCCCCCATCAGTCCATGCAGGCACAGAGGGGGATCTTTCCACGCCCCAGAGAAGAATCAAAGCATCCTGAAACAGGAGGCAGAGGCAGGAAGATCTTGAGTTTGAGGTCAGCCTGGGCAGTAAAGAAAGATGAAAGACAAAAAGCAGAGTGTTCCAGGGGACTCAGGTGGGGGCTGCAGCCTGCCTCTGGCACTCCTGATGCCTTGGGAGTGTGACTTGGGGGCTGCCACATTGCTACTGCTCTGATCCTTGGGAGAGGTCTGGAGGCCAAGCCACCCCGTTAGCGCAGTGTCCTCCTCCCCGGGCAGCCAGGAGAGACCCATTCACAGGCAGCGAGGGGGAGCCTGTGATGGAGCCAGTACCAGGAAGACGTCTGAAGCTACCCACCACTGAGTGGTTGGCTTGCAAGGGCAACACCAACGTCACGTGACCCAGGAATGTCCCTTTCACTGGAGAGATGGACCGGCCATCTCCAATCTGCATCCGCACCAGCTGGAAGCGGAGCCGTGCTGAAGGGAAACGCCTGCTCTAACCCTTACCTCTGGGAGCAGCGCTGGTCCTTCTGCCCAGGCTCAGCGGCAGTGGGGTCTACAGCAGGTCCAGCCCAGCAGGAGCCGCTCAGAGCACGGGCTGCAGAAGAGACCACTGGAGGACACCGGCCCTGCGTAGGGGCAGCAGCACAGGAGACTCCAGGGGCGGGGTGGAAAAGAGGATAGGAAGAGAGGAGCAGGCATTGCTTCCTGCCGAGGTCACATCCTCGGCTGTCCCACCACACCAAACCCCAGCTGCCTTCCTCCCAGGCAGCTCAACCCTTCCCGAAAACCTTGGGGCCCCTCCTCCCCAAATGTGGGGTGGGCTCAGAAACACAGCAAACAACGAGCTTCTCAGGAGAGCACAGTGAACACTCAGAAGGCTCCTTGGGGTTCCATGTGAGGGTTGAGAGCCCCCTCTCAGCAGCGGCTGCCGCCAGGAGATGAGCCAACACTTCCCAAACCCAAGGACAGTGAGAAGAGTGCGTGACGTTCCCAAACCTGCAGTAAAGACACAATTTCGGCAGCTTCGACTGCCCTGACTCACGTGTGCATTTCCTTCTTATTGTCCACGTTCTGGGCCCTTCAAAAAACCTCCATATATCGATTGGAGCTTCGTGTGTCGTCCCTCTCCGTTACAAACACCCACACCTGCCGCACATCTCACGAGAGCAAAGAAGAAAATCTCCCACCCTCTCCTGTAGATGGTCAGGCCTCAAGGTCGAGATCAGCATCCTAAAGGTGGAGCTTGCAAAGTGGAAGGTTCCCAAGGTTTTCGTGACCCATAAAGGTTAAAAGTCCTTACTGTATTCAGCAGAGAGCAACACATTTTATCACCCAGGGAAGGGCAGCAGAGAAGCGCCTCCTTCCTCCAAAGTACAAGTCACCAGTGCTCAGCACCTGACTGAGTGCTGTTTGCTGAATGCATACACGAAAAGCTCCTCCCATGCCAGCCATGCAGGGCCGTGCGGGCTGGAGGAGCTCTGATCTCATCTAGAACGGCCAGCACCTCACAAATTAGAAGCAGCAGGTTAGCCACAGATACCTCAAGTACAAGATTAAAATTGCCCAGCAAGAGGTTTCGATAGGTGCACTGAAGTGTGGGTTTGCTTCTCTGCAAAAGTTTAGGATACTTTGAACCCACAGGAAAAGTTAAAGACTACACTGACACCGTGGACACTCGGCCTAAATCACCAGCTGCTAGTGTGGCCCCGCACCTGCTCCCCCCCGCCCAACTGCTGCTCCCAGCCCTCGGCCACTGAGTCACTGGGAGGGAAGCTGAGGGCGCAATGCTACTACATCCCCAAAGGTTTCTTCTAAGGAAAGGGACATTTTCCTACATAACTTAAGTTCATCACACCCGAGAAAGTTAACCCTGACCAATCATTAATAATATTGTGGCCAGGCGTGGTGGGGCATGCCTATAATCCCAGCACTCAAGAGGCCGAGGCAGGATCGCCTCGAGTTCAAGCCCAGCCTGAATTATGGAGCCAGACCCTGTCTCAAAAAGGAGGAGGAGGAGGAGGAGGAGGAGAAATACATGCAGTCTATATCCAAACGTCCCAATTATTCAATACCCTAGCAAGTATCACCCAATATATACGCTCAGCAGTCCTCTAGTCTTTCACCTAGGCAAGATCTTTGGCCGCGTTATCTGCTTCCTGTGGTTCTCTGCTGTGGTATACGGTTTAGGAGTCTGAGCTGGTTGTTTGTAGATGTCCTACCATCTGGATTTTCCTGATTGCATCCTCATTGTTCTGTGCCAGATGAACACCCTGTGTCCTCATTGCGAGAGTCAGATAAAAACCCAGGATGCTAAATATTTAACACTGTGCCCTTGGCCTTGCGTCAGAGCCCGCAGCCCGTGATGTCAGTCTCTCCCGTGACGCTGGTGCTGACGGAAGTCTGTGCGGACATCCCGGCCGCTCCGTCCAGAGGGGAGCTTCGGCTGTAATTTATAAGGCAGCTGAGGTCGCATACTGCGAGCCCCGTGCCCACCCCACCCCCCGGGGTGGCACCCGAGGACGCTCACCTGACTCTGTGACAGTGGCAGCTCCTGTGAGGCACCATGTTCCATCTAATTCTGCCCCTCCCTTCTGCCGTGTTCTGTTTGCTTTTGCCACTGGACTGGGCGACCAAGATGCACCCGCGGCGCCGACCTGCCCTGACGTGTTTGGGAAACGGGAGTGGATAAGTGGAGTGGGACTAGGAGCAGAAGGCCAGCTGCAAGCAAAAGGTTGAGTGAAAACCCGAGGTATCATTCTGGGCCCTGGTGAGCATGCAGCACCCCAGGGACACACGTCATGTGCCACAAGGGCAGCACCGAGAGGAGCTCCTGAGAAGCCCTGCCCAGAACCAGTGAAAGGCTGAGAGGGGCACAGATGTTGGGCATCTGGGAGGAAGGACAGATGGTGGCAGCCTGGACTGCGCACAGGGCAATGGAGATTGACTGAAGCTGGCCAACGTCATGGTCAGGTGAGGGGACGGTTTCCACTCCCCGCTGCCCGGCCCTGAGCGGTGCCTGCTGCACCCCTGTGTCCACCAGGACCACCGAGACCCGAAGGAGCAGCCC